TCTTTTGGACAAATGATATGTTTTTGTAATTACAACACATAACAAGGACAAAATTGACATTTACCCTTCAAAAGGCCATTTTGGTGAATGGCAAAAAAAAGTTGGTCAATGTGGAAAATTGGTGTTTTGACGTAGTTATTTTAAAAAGTACCCCCAAATACGTCCCAAACATTTGGTCGTTGGGATTTTGCTTTTGTATGTATCCAGGAATTTTGTTGTAGTTCATTTGCAATGCAATATAGTTCACTTTGCAACTAATTTAGCTTCCTCTTTTGAACTTGATGGAAAGCTTGTGTGTTCAAGATAAGTGTAAAATTGCCTGTGTGTGTAATGCTTGTTTGCATTGCCAGGATAATTCTTTTGTGGGTGTCAAAATATATGACAACCTTTTGATTTATAACTACACTAGTTTTTTTGTGTTTCTTTAGTATGTATTCTCTGATCATAATTCAAGCTGCTCAAGTACTCTGCTTGTGTTTAATTTGTCATGGCGTGTAAATATTTCTACTGAGAGTCATTTCATAGTTTGTCCATAAATGGGTTTCTTGGAATTAAGTTATCAAATGGATGGTCCAGGTTCTCCATCTTGAAAGGGTTTGAAGAATAGTGTGTTCAACAATTAGATCTTTATAGCCTATTAGTTCAATGTAACAGGAATCACTGATTAGTCTTTGAAAGCTAATTTTGATTTGGATGTTGCAAAGTCTCTTATTTATTTGATTCCCAATCTAATCTTGCCGAAAATTCGTTGATAGTACACTTTTCCTAGCTTCCCCCATCTCAATCTCTGCTGTAGTTTATAAATTTACAATTCTCCCAACTGCATGCAACTTCATTAGTGTCGAATTTGCGAAATATTACTTGCAAGACTAGAGTAATTAAGGGAGCCTTTACAAATAAAAGAGGGCGATTTTCTTACTTTTGATGCTCGGTTAATAGTTGGTTGCCCTCGCATGTTTTAGGACAATATAGAGCTGCAGTCGTTGAACTTGATGCAATTTGGAAGAGACAAATGACTAGAACTAAAACTGAAGACCAACAACAATTTGAACAAGAGCAATTAAACAAGTTCAGCAAAGGTAGACCAGGAAAATGCACCAAGAACTTGGGAATTTTCTCAACCCGACTTCGATCAAACTTCCCAAAAACAATAAAACAAGAGCGAACTTTTCAAAAACAAAAGCAAGTCTTCATTGTTCAAACTTTTTCATAAATACATATAGGGACATACTTGAATAACATTTCACGATTACAATAAGCTTCGTACACCATGACAACTACAATCAACATTGTTTTAAGCAATTACATAGGCGGTAACATTTTATGGAGCTCCTTCCTTCAGTTTCCCGCTCTTTTCAATATCTCATTTTTCCTAGCGATAGTAATATTGGGACATCTCGACGTCCTCGTCTTCAGATATTATAGCAACATTCTTCAACATACAAGACAAATCTTCAACTTGGAATGCCTGTGATCCACCAATATGCTTACCCTCAAATTGCATATTTTTTTGTTCACTGGGCATGACATTGTTCCGTTTGATTAATAACATGCTATATAATTCAGGTCTCAATAAGGGTTATTAGGATCAGCATCTGCATATTAGAAACCAAGCAAACTAAGGCATCACATTCAAGATAAAGAAGGCTAATTGCATCGTCCATAAGCCCCAAAACATGTGGAACGTCATGCAATTGATTGCTTTCCATATCAATTTCTGATGATTTTACCAGTTCTTGCTGGACAAGGGATTGGACAAGGTTGGCTCCATCCTGAGTGAGTGATATAGATTTGGCAGAAGGCTTCAGCCATCATGGATCCCATGGTATGATCGACTTGCTTAGCTCTCCCGAGGCTACAGCTCTTTTGAAGCGTTCCTTTTCCTAGGCAGAAAAATCATCAAGATTTACCTGGCTTCTAGTAATAAAGGGAAATAAAACTCAAATATGCTCTGATGAGCACACAGTTCAGTGTCATCACCAAGAAATTAAAGAGGGATATAATCTTTTGAACAGTCTCCTCTGACAAAAATAAATCTAAAATCAACACAATTGGTTAAGTTAGCATGATGTGGGAATGACAGCTAAATGGATTTATAAAATGGGAAGAAAATTAAAGAAGGAAAATTGATATAAAGCATACACAAGAACATATATGCAAGAAACTATCTTCCGGATACAAATACGGACTGTAAATGAAGCTTCCTTCAACAATTGGTCTTACTCAAGCAGCAGATTAGACAAATAATAGACTTAAGTAAACTGGGGATCATGAACAAGATTGTATGTGATGCGAATAACAAAACTACACAATACGAATGTTATACTACATTAGAGAACAAAGTTCCCGCTCATTAGCAACCCCAGTAAATGAGAAAATTTTATATATTTCTAAGCAAATAAGAGGAAATGTATATGCACTTGTGACCAAAATTTCAAAGATACCAGGCAAGGTAGAGGCGATTTTCACGAAAGAGTCGACAGTTTATGAAGATGCCAAATTTCAAACAATTGAAGAAGATCGTTCTATCCTCAAATTGGTTACTAAAAATAGATGAAATTTACCTTTACTACACGTCGCCAGTTCCAACAAACAACAGATTACGATCAATTTTGAGTTCCTTGCATCGTTCTTGGAGTGATTACAATCGATTTTGGGGATGGAGCGTCGATAATTGATTTGGGGGTACTGGGTTTCACGTTTAGGATTTAGGTTTTAATTGGGAAAGATGCTTTCATTTCCTCAATATGTTAAAGGC